TTTATCAATATTGCCCCCCATAGATGTAAAAGCAAACATGCTATTATATTGTCTTATCTTTTGTAGGAAATATCTTGAGTATCTCCTCTGTAATCCAGTAATCTTTTAAGAAATTGGGGTGGTTCTTTGAAAGGTGGTATTTTGATTTTGCCATATTTACAACTGTTGGAGTATAATACTTGTCCATGAGCTCGTTCAGTATCATATTTGTTGCGTTCTTCGTACCAGAATATTGCATTGCAATATTTACAACTGTATTTTGGTATTCCCAAGTATGATCTTTGTCCATATGTTTCTTTCAGGTATTGAATTTGTTCAGGAGAGAAGTATATCATACCATGAGGTAAAGATAAGTATGCATGTTTTTGATCTTCTTGTAAGCATCTTCGTTTTATAGCTTCTTGTAGAACCTGGTTCTTTTCATCTATCTTCCGTTCTCTCTTCTATTTTCTCACGTATCTTGTTTTTGTCCACAGAATATTTTTGTTTTTGTCTTTTACCAAGTGGTTGATCAGATTGATATGCTCTTTTCCCCATTTCTATAATAAACAGTAGGTGTTATAATTATTGCATAAGAGAAAATCAAGGGTCAGTAAATGTGAATGAAACAAAAATATAATATTACAACAGGATATTAATAACATAAAGCAATATAGAGTTCATTGTGCATATCTTAATAAAATTCTATGAATTATCAGGATATTCCATCGTGTATACCTAAAAAAAATTATATAAATTCTTAGGAGATGCTATACATGAATTAAATATAATATGAAGAAAACAGTTTGTTTAGCAGGTTAGAATTGTTTTATCAGCTTGGTTGATTTTGGTTGATGATTATATGACAATGTGAGCTCATGTCTATTGTATTTTGTTCGCTGATCAAGACAGGGGAAGCTAAAAATGAGGAAAGGCAGCTGCTATATGTATTGTCGACTGGTCCATCTTTACTGAAGATAATTAAAAAAAAGAGTTATTACCTTGCGGTCCGTGACGAAGAACCTCGATTTGGTTTTGATATTCGTGTTCACCACCGATGTCCTATTGCGTCGTTGTAGGTGTTCTCTAGCGAAGATATAGGGTGCCTTGGTGTTGTTTCTTACTGGTGAAAATAAGGTGTGAACTGTGAAGGGTGAGGGATGACAGAAAAGCGATGGCTGAAGTTGTTAATTGTTAACGATCAAGAGTGGCAGGTTCAGTTAAACTTTTTAGGTCTGGTTGTGTCATATATATTTGAAGCAAGGTGTTCACGTGGAGGATGAAGAGTTCTCTAGAATATGAATAGTACACGATCATAGAAAAATATGTAAAGCTCTTGTACTTTCTATAAACATGGCTTGAGCTGTGCTAAATAAGAAGCTACGTGTTGTGGCCTGGTGAACGTGGCCTTGTGAATGGTTGAACACGTGGCATGGTAAGAAGCTAGCTTTGTTGCCCTGTGAATGTGGCGTTGTGAATAACTAGTGAATGTGGCCTTATGAATAGCTGGACACGTGGCAAGAGAAGAAGCTATATCTTATGGGGGAATTTGACGGCGTGTTTCTAGCTTTCGAGCGTCCGGCCGGCGCATAACAACCCCCTATACTGCAAAATGCAAATCAGATCGATCATCGATGTGAGTTGCCGAACTCTTGGGGCGTGATTGGTTCTGTGTTTCAGCCCAGCCTGGCTAGAATCAGTGATTGGTTCTTTGGTCAGGCTTGGTGGACACAAAGGCACTTGATTGGCCTGCCACGCTATTGGGCCTGAAGCCCAACGGCTCGTGACGCGAGGCCCAAGTAGAGCCAGCACCCACCCACCGCAGCTCGCTGGCAGCCGGCTATAAGAACGACAGGGTCGACAAACCCTGACCAAATCCAACGTGCTCGTTACATCTGGCCGCCGCCTCTACTACGCTTCGTCGTCGCAGAATTCCTTCCCCCATATTTTTTTTTTCTTTTTGCTGCCCTCTCTTTCTGATTTTGCATCTTTGAGGAAATTTGTTGCTCTCTCTTTCAGATCCAGCAACCTCTCCGGGAGAAAATTTGTTGGTTTTGTTCATTTGTGTGTTTCTCGTTATGGAGTAGATGCGAAGATTTATGTCTTCTGTTTTGTTTTTTTTCTCACGCACGGTCTGAATCAAATCAGAGAGATCCGGCTCTATATTATGAGTCAACAGCAGGCGCCGGTCAATGGCGTCCTGACTGCCGCTTGGAGCCTAGATTGACGCCCTAGCCAGGAGAAGATTGTTTGGAGATCCATCTTCTTTTAGTTCCAAGCCACAATACCTGGCCACACCTCGATGCAAGCTCACCCAAATACTGAACCTTTACCTATTTTTGTTTCGTTTTGGTCCTATATTTGTTTCATTTTGGTCTGTTGGATTTTGTGCTGGGACGGCATAATTAGATGAACGGGTGACCTCCGGTCTTCCATGGAGGTTTGCCCTTTGCAAGGTGCCCAGAGAGACGCCTATACACGATTGGATGGGGCGTCATGTTTCTGCCCTTATCCAAATTTCATGCGGCCACATTATGTGTATGTGTTGATCCGGTTTTGTTTCTATTTTTTCCGGCGGTTCCATTTTTCATTTCTATTTTTTTTCGGTGGTTCCATTTCTCCATCTTTTTTTATTTTGCAACTAAAACAGTGAAAACGAAATGATAACAGATATTCACATCTGTTGAACTGCGAAAGCTGTGTCAGAGATTTGTTGAGTCATGCTGAAAAATTGATTTGAACTGTGCCTATGCGTTTTACAGGTAAAACAAAAATTTGTTACGTGGTACTAAGGAATGGAGGGATGTATGTGATACATATATTTTGGAATTACTGTGGAAAACTACGAATTGGATTACTGTAGAAGACTACGAATTGATAACAGCTTATAATCTGGATGGAGTATTGAAGCGACAAGTTCAAGCGACTGGACGTCAATTCGATGCCAGCGGCAGTCTGTTTTACTGTGTCCACGAATGGGCCCGCGCCTGCCGGATGTTGCTTGCCAGCGCAGTTTGAATAGTATTTTTCTTTCGTACTAAATCAGCCAGGGCCTTGTTTAGATCATCTTTAAATTCCAAGTTTTTTCACTTTCTCCATCACATCAATTTTTAGACGCATGGAGCATTAAATATAGGTAAAAAAAATAACTAATTACACAATTTTGTTGTAAATCACGAGATTGATCTTTTGAGCCTAGTTAATCCATATTCGACAAAGTTTGTCAAATATAAACGAAACGTGCTACAGTGTCCAGGTTGCAAAAATTTGCAATCTAAACAAGGCCCAAGTAGTATATTTTTTACGAACCAGCAATGATCTAGCCTAGCCAACCGAACAGGTTGGCTCGTGCCACCCGCCCGCAGCGACTGCCTGCGTCCACTCGCTTCCCATGCCTATCCCAGCAACACCCGAACTATTTTTTTTTTCAAATATGTAGATGTAACACTTACAACATAAAAAAAGATAGATAAAACATTAAACATGCATTTGAAACACTTGCAGAAAAACTTGAAAAACACTTGAAAATCATTGCAAAACATACATTATTCAGATAAAACAATTACAACATATGTGTAAAAACAAATGCAACATCCAAATAAATACGCTTGCAACATATGCGTGAAAAATAGATGAAACATTAGAGACAGACTCTTACAACATATATGTACAACCATTGCAACATTCCAATATACTTTTGCAACATCCATATGAAACGTTTACAACATACATCTAAAATATCTGAAACATTTTTAAAATATGAGCTTACAACATGCATCATATCCCGTTGCGGCCACCTCCGCCGCCTCTTCGGGGTGCCACAGTCGTAGCAGCATACGAGGCCGGAGGGCTTTCGCACCAGGACCTGACGCTTCTCCTTGCGCTGGCGACGGCTGTGGTGTCGTTAGGCAGAACAGGAACAGCAGGGCGGATGGCTGAGGTCCAGGAGCAGCGCAGGACGAGCAGCAAGGAGCAACAGAAGGGGCGCGAACGGCGAAGGAGAAGCAGGAGTAGCGCGAGGCGAACAACGGAAGGGCACGGACGCGAGGTTTATTCGGGGCAGGCCCAACCGCGGCGTCCAGACAAGACGGACACCCGTGTCCTTTCATTTCCGATGAATATAACTTATAAGTTAATTTGGAATGAAGAGAGTATATGATAAACAGTGGAAACTATGAAATGATTACGACATACTCCCTCCATCCCAAATTGTAAGTCATTCCAAGAATCTTGGAGAGTCAAACTTTTTCAAGTTTGACTAAAATTATAAAGAGAAACACAAAGATTGATGACATCAAATAGGTATAATATGAAAATATAACTAATAAAGAATCTAATGATACTTACTTGGTATGATAAATATTATTATTTTGTTATATAAATTTGGTCAAATTTAAAAAATCTTAACTCTCCAAGATTCTTGAAATGACTTATAATTTAAGATGGAGGGAGTAGGTTTTAATTTGAAAGGAGAGAGTACGTGATGAATAATCTGATACACATTGGTAATGGAGGTATGTGATACATAACTCTCTTCGCAGATCTTAGCTATTATAATTACTAATAACCGCTTCAATAAGTGCAGCAGTTAACACAGTTCGCTCTAGCCAAATGTCTCTTGTTGAGCCATATGAGCTGTATCCAGGACTTAACAAGGGCAACGACGCACAATACAGGGCTTCATATGGGGGCATCGTCTTCACAATTGGAATGGCAAGATCTTATTCTTATAGAATGATTTAAGGTCCCTGACAAAAACGACAGTAATTCACAAGTAGCAATGTATATCAGTTGAACATGGTCACACTAACACAACAAACAACCTTCCAGTCGGCCAAACCTCAATGGAGCACAACTCTGGCTGCATTTATCTGTACACATTCCACCAGTTCATTCTACAGTATTCAAAGAGAATGAACACAGATTGATGTAAAACAAGGGTGTCTACAGAGCCATTCGACAGAGTCGATGAACTCTTAACCAGCGACACCACTTCATAACCAGCAGGCAGCACACTCTTTTCAGATTGGTGGGATGTTCGAAAACGAGAACCCCTTGTAACCTTTGTAAGCATAGTAGGCGATTCTTGTGTAGTAGAACCCAGGGATGAACATTACAATGCCCAACATCATGAAGAAAATTCCTGATACAACATGGGGCACAAGGTCAGGTAGAGGGAGTAACAAGTTTATGCATAAGCACAGGGACAAAGTTCATGCATAAGCGCAGCATTTCATATGAATCAGTACTTAATTAAAACTGCTATATGAAAGGGTTCACATTGCATCAGTACTTGAAAGGTGAATCAACACCCATGCAAATTATCAAGCCTGTGTGTGCAAATCACAACTTGTTCTAATCCACAAGCAGTTGAGTGTGAATCACAGCTTGTTCTTATTACAAACCTATCACAGGCTTCTAGCATAGACACAAAATCTATACCTGAGTACATACTCAGGAAGCAAAAATGTGATTTCTATTGCCTCTAAATTAAATTTCACACTCCTGCATTTTTATGAAACTACTACTAAACCCTGTCCCGCAACTTCAAGGCGCTCAAATGAACTCAGTACTGTGATGGCTTGTTGATACTCTTAAGTTTCAGGTAGGTTCGTGCTCGTCTGATACGATCAAATTTACAACCCAGTAGGTAGATAAAAACCTGCATTTCCTATTGTGGACATTGGACAGTTCACCCGATTGGCACCCGGTCAACTAAGCATCCTACCCAAATCAATCCCAACCCCAAACGTAAGCAACTAAGCATCCCACCCAAATCGAAGCTCGCTGTCATCCTAATAAATAACTAATTAGGAAAGTAACTAAATCACTAGTATCTCTTTGTGTGCGCAAAGCCACATTACATGCGTCGCACCCCGGAACACCACTAACAGGTGGTGATTTCCTGACACCGCAGGCGCTTAAACCAAGCTTTATAGCTAAAATCCCCCAGAGATCTGGTAAAAAACAGTGCGAATTACATGAGGCGCACGCAGGAAGCGGACTCGAGCTGCTCGCATCGAAACGAGAGAGAGGCAGAGGCAGAGGCAGAGGCAGAGGAAGAACAAGGGGCAGGGGGACGGCGGCCTCGGACTCACCGTGCGCGCGGTCACCTCCGACGCGGTTGACGGCCATTAGCAGGCCACCGATGGCGCCGAGTGCCCCGAAGGCGAGCAGCGCGGCGGCGAAGGCGATCTCCTTGACGGGCGCCCCGCGCCGGCCCCCGATGGCGCCGCCGACGAGGTCGTCCTCGTCGGAGATGGAGAAGGCGTGGTCCACGTACGCCATGCCCGGCGCCAACCGAAACCCTAGGTGGGGTGACGGGTGAGAAGGTTGCGGACCTTTGCTGCTAGATTGGGGAGGTTGGGGGTGGGCGGGCGGGTGGGGTGAGAAATGAATGCGGGGAAGTCGGGAAGAGGAAGACGCGAGCAAGGGAAGGAAGGAAGGGCTGCGAGGTTTTTTTTTTTCTTTGGTGAGAAGAGGTCAGTCTCGAGCCTCGAGTGGGTCACTTTACGCTATACGCAATTCCGATGCTCGGCTCGCGGGTTCGCTGGGTTTAGTTTAGATGCCACCTAAAATTCAAAAATTTTCAAGATACTCTGTCACATCAAATTTTACGATACATGCATAGAGTATTAAATATAGGTAAAAAAAATAACTAATTGTACAGTTTGCCCGTAATCTTTTAAGCCTAAATAGTCCATAATTGAACAATTTTTGTCAAATACAAACGAATGTGCTACAGTAATCAAAAGCCAAAAAAATTCGCATCTAAACGGGCCTTAGTGGACGCGCACGGGCAAAGCGGACCCCTTCCTAAAAAAAAAATCCACGTTACATCTCAACTCGGAAAATCCGTTTTTTCTCCTACAACTCTAAAATTAGACAAAACACTTTTCTTATTTTTTAAAACCGTTCATATGGTCCTGTTATAAACAGTTTTGAAGACAGTTCTGTCTTTTTATTTATTTATTTTGGTTGAATTTTTGAAAAAAAATAGTAAATAACAGAAAAATCATAAAATAGAAAATCTAATTTTGTTGGACTCCACATGAGTAAATCTACACAGTAAACATATAATATGGTATGCTTTAGAATAAAGTTTTTTTATGTGACTTTAGATTCATGCTTTTCCTTAATTAATTGGAATAATTCAAAACTGCAGTTTTATGGTCCAATTGTGATGAAATTTTTATGGTGAACTAATTATTATATGATTGAACTATAGTAAAAAATTTATACTCATTAGACCATGTATAGCTTAGTTATAGATTTATTTATATTTAACAAGATCCAATGATTATGAAATTTTTATTACAATTTAAGCATATAATAATTAGCTCATCATGAAAATTTCACCATATTTGGACCATGTAAACTGCAGCTATGAATTATTCTATTTAATTACAGAAAAGCATAGATTTAAAGCTACAACAAAAACTTTGTACTAAATCATACCATATTATATGTTCACTGTGTAGATCTACTCATGTGGAGTCCAACAAAATTGAAATTTCTATTTTATTATTTTTCTATGATTTTTCAAAGATCCAGCCAAAATAAATAATAAATAAAAAGACAAAACCGCCTTCAAAACTACTTATAACAGGGTCAGGGAGGTAGGAAGAACGGTTTTAAAAGTTGAGGGAGGTGTTTTACCCAATTTTAAAGTTTAAAAAGAAAAAACGGACTTCCGCAAAAATTGAGAATGTAACGTGCACTTTTTCCCCTCGGTCAACCTCGGCTGAATCACATCGACCGGCGAGCCATCCTGGGTTGGTTGGGCTGTGCTGGGCAGGCTTGAGGCCTGTGCAAACGAAAGGCCGACTGGTGCTGGACTTGTTGGGCCCAGAAGTAGAAGACTTGTTGAGTCGGACGACCATTTGGTTCATTTGTTTCTGGGCCCCAATTAGCCCATCATCAGGATTCTCTACAGTTCACCTTTCCTCTTTCTCTTTCTCTCCAGGCCCAGGAGAGGAGAGAGAGTTAAGCATTAGGCGTGTGCGTGACTGCGTGTCTCCAGCCCACAAGAAATCAGGCCCTCACATTTTTATTTTTAAGTTGTTATATTATACAAAATGCTACTCCTATAACCATCTGACGTGTGATTTTATCAAAGGCACAACACTCAGTTCTCAAAAGGCTCATCAGAGATACTGACACACACGTTTGTTGTGGTATGGTATGAGTTAAGATTTTGTTGTGGTATTTAAAAAGAGTATCGTTCTAACTAAGAATAACTTAGTAAAGAGGATGTAGAGCGGTAATAAATTTGGTTGCTTCTATATTATTAGCAAATATGCCCGTGCGTTGCAACGGAATTCAATACGTAGTGATTAGTTATATCACAGGTCATGAGTTTGAGTCAAAAATTTAATTAAAATAGTGGTAAAAATCTTTGTTTCTTAAGGAGTCAAAGATTAAAATGGATGTGATTTCTTATTTATTGTTTGTTTTTAATCTTATTATATTATTAGAACAAGAAAAACCAGGTGGAGAAAACAATGAAAACAAAATCAGAAAAGTCGAGCTACTCGGAGCAAGTTAAAACGGACAAACCAAAAAAAAGTAAAAAAAACAGAAAAAAAAACTAAACAAAGAAATTATACCCTTAATGGACTTGCTGTCTTAATTCGTTTGGGCCAATGTCGTGAGACATTCCAACTCCGAATAAAGGAACCAAATCAATTTATTTCCTTCTCCATGCACGTAGACTATTAAGAAGCGTAGCGATGCACCTAGACTATGAAAAAGTAATTTGTATCGGATATTTCTTTTTAGATTTTTTCCTTTTGATTTTTTTCTAGAGTTCAATCGTAGTAATCTGCCGGTCTTGGGTCTGCTGGTGGACGATTCCTCTTCAAATGTTTTAGGTGTAGAGATTTCTATTCTTATATTTTTGCATTTGGATTAAGAGGATTAAAATTCCTATTTCGTTTACTCGGAGTTGGAGAGATCTAATTGGATTAAGATTCCTAGTTGTCCATATTATTATATTTTTCCTATTTGGATTAAGATTCCTATTCAACCGAAATCGGAGAGATCTAATTGGATTAGGGTTCCTAGTTATATAAAGAGAAGGGCTATAGACGGTTTTCCACATTCACAAAGTTAGTTAAGGGATGTCCGGACCAAAAATATGTAGAGAGAAATTTTGCTTCTTTATTATTAGGTATAGAAACATGTAACTATTAAACATCTCCTTGTTATTATTACTGTCGTTATGGCAAATTTCTATGGCATGCAATCCATGTTGTTCTAGGGTTCCCTACTTACCAATATTTTTTATATATACTTGATTAAAAGTAGCAAGATGAAAACAAAATATTCTATTATTGATACGGGTTGTGGCTGCTTGCTGAGCTATTTGGATCACAACATACGACTCTGTGTTAAATGCTAAACGGTAAATGGTCAGACACTTGCTGTTTAGCCATTATTTAGCCATAACAACCTTTAAACAGGCAAAACAACTAATGACGAGAAAAGATGCATCGCCGTGTAGGTGTAGCGTTTAAATGGTGTGTAAAGGGGCAAAACAACCATTTAGGCAAACACTACCTAAATACTATAAATGGGCTCTATTACAATGCACCTAGGAAATGAAGGATCATCCAGTACACCATTGCCATACTATCAGTTAGTTCGGTTTGGGAACGATATATAGAATGTGATGATTTTGTCCCTGTTTTATACGATCGGATAGTCTTTGCCTCATGTTTGGTTGAGTGGGATGTATCTATTCTAGTTTTTTGCTTGGTTGAGCGGTGGATAGTGTTTTGGCACCATTAGCATGCATCAAATGCGGATCCCACTTGTGATTCGTGCAACCTAGGCCACATGTCAATGTAACAGTCTCTCTTCTTTATATCATTATCACTACTACAAAAAAACGTTTGTAGCAACGGAACAATTTTTTGTAGGGGCGGCTGGTGATGGAGCCGCCCCTACAGCGGACATGCTCGGGACCCACGAGACCAGCCACCCCTACAAATGGCATAGTAGGGACGGCTGATGATACGAGCCGCCCCTACAAATGGGTCGATTTGTAGGGGCTGAAAGCATCTGGGCCCCTAGTTGTGTTTCGGTGATTAATGACAATACGAGATTACTATGACTGATGTGTGTTTTCTAGAGACAATTAAGTTAGGTCATGGTAATGGCAATTGATTGGGAAATCATGGTTGTCATGCCCCTACGATGGAAATCGTTTCGGTTTTCAAAGGATGGACGACAAGGTTAAGGATGGAATAGTTCTAAGTGTCGTTTGGTGTTGAAAAGACACTTAGAGTAGTTTAGGACTTTGTTTTTCCTTTGGCCGTACTATTAAGGGGGTACAAACTAGTAGCTTGACCTATGTGAGTCTAGTGGATTAGGTGTGGTGCACACTTGTCAAATCTAGCACTAGGTAGCTCAGGAGTAGCCCTAAGATCAATTGGAGCAAACTTCATTCACATATGATTTTAAGTTGGAAGTGAATGGAGGGTCAAATGACTGACCGGATGCTGGTCTGGTTGTGACCGAACGCTGAAGGGTGAGTTCGGTCAGTTCATTTGATCAACTGGAGCTGTCTAGTTGCGACCGAACGTTGAGTGAAAAGTGACAGAACGCTGGGTTCCTGTGTCCGACCAACTCCAGAGAGGTTCCAGAGAGGGAGATTCCTGATCGGACGCGGCCGGTCAGTGCTGACCGGACGCTGGTCAGGATCCGGTTAGTGACCGGACGCTGAACAGCGAAGTGACCAGACTCTAGGTGCCAGCATCCGGTCAACATCAGTAAGGTTCCAGAGAACAGTTTTTGTGACCGGACGCATGTCAGAGTCCGGTCACAACTTAACGGCTCTGTGGCGGGGATAACTGACCGGAGCGTCCGGTCACCTTGACCGGAGCGTCCGGTCACCTTGACCGGAGCGTCCGATCACCCTGTAGAGGGCTGACTCAACCTCCTAATGGTTCATTTTGAATGAGGGGGTATAAATACTTCCTCTATTCATCCAAGGAAGGTCTGTTGCCTATTTATTCAGCTGAGAAACACCCTTGAGAGTGTTTTGTAGAGCAAGAGCCTAGTGAGATAATTGAGATTTGAGAATCCAAGATTAAGGCCACATTAGTGCAAGGAGAGTAGCAAGTGTGCATCCACCCTTCTCATTAGGATTGTTGTGGTCAGGTGAGAGTTCATGCTTGTTACTCTTGGTGATCTCCATCACCTAGACGGCTTGGTGGTGATCGGGAGTTTGGCGATCATCCGACGAAGCTTGTGGATGATCCAACTCAAGTTGTGAGCGGTTATGGACGATTCACCGCGACGGAGTGTCGAAGAATCAGCCCGTAGAGAGCATTTGATCCTTGCGCGGATCAAGGGGGAGCTACACCCTTGTGTGGGTGCTCCAATGAGGACTAGTGGAGAGTGGTGACTCTCCGATACCTCAGCAAAACATCGTCGTGTTCCTTCTCCTCTCTTCACTTTAAGCATTTATATTTGAGCAATTCATTCTTGTCTTTATATTCTTAGAATTGTCATGTTTGAGTAGGATTGGAACTTAGGGTGCTAAACTTTTGTACGGTAGGTCAATAGAATCATATTCTAGGCACAAGGGGAGAAGTGGGTTAAGTGTAGAGTTTAATTATTGCAAAGAATTTTAGAATTAGCCTAATTCACCCCCCTCTCTTGGGCATCTTGATCCTTTCAGGGGCGGCTCACTCACCAGTCGCCCCTGGTGTTGCGATTTGTAGGGGCGGCTCAATCACCAGCCGCCCCTACAAATCACACTTGTTCATCATTGATCATCATGAATAGTTGTGATTTTTCTTTTTAATATCTAGGTAAAATTTGTAACTAGTCTTTCTCACTCATACTAACTCCAAATGTGATGATTTTTTTCCTAAAATTTTCTAAAATCATACCCTATCAGGTTACTATTTTGATTTGGTCATTCTTTTCGTTTGACAAAGTTTGAGCAATTCAAAATTTTAAATTTAAAAAAATGACAAGTTCTAACAAGATTTTGAAACACCAAATGATTTCAGCTAAAAAAGTGATGGATACCAAAGATATATAACTCATCAAGATCTACAACTTTTATTTTGGTTATTTCTTCATCTGATAAAGTAATAGTAAACATTGTTCACAAATCAACATGTCTCTCATATAGTTCATGAAACTATGAGTGATATATGAATTTGTGAACAATATTTACTAACACTTTGTCAAATGTAGAAGTGACCAAAATAAAAGTTATAGATAGTGATGAGTTCAACAACTTTTATGTTTATGACTTTTGTAGTTGAAATCATTTAAGGTTTCAAAACCTTTTTGAAGTTGCCATTTATTGAAATTCAAAATTTGAACTGTTTAAATTTTTTCAAATGAAAAGATGACCAAAATAAAAGTTGTAGATAGTGATGTGTTCAACAACTTTTATATTCATCACCTTTACAGCTGAAATCATTTAGTGGTGGAAAATCAGGTTTGAAGTTGTCATTTTCTAAAATTCAAAATTTGAATTCTCCAAAATTAGTGACAAAGATAGATGATCAGGCTAAAATGATAGAGCGTGATTTTAGAAAATTTTATGAAAAAACCATCATATTTGGAGTTAGTATGAGGGAGAAAAACTAGTTACAAGTTTCAGCCACAGATTAAAAAGAGAAATCACACTTGTTCATTATTGATCATCGTGAACAGTTGTGATTTTTTTTAATCTCTGGATAAAATTTGTAACTAGTTTTTCTCTCTCATACTAACTTCAAATGTGATGTTTTTTTTTCTAAAATTTTTAAAAATCATGCCCTACCAAGTTTCTGTGTTGATTTGGTCATTCTTTTCGTTTGACAAAGTTTAAGCAATTCAAATTTTCAAATTTAAAAAGTAACAAGTTCTAACAAGATTTTGAAACACCAAATGATTTTAGCTGAAAAAGTGATGAATACCAAAGATATATAACTCATTAAGATCTACAACTTTTATTTTGGTTATTTCTTTATCTGACAAAGTTTTAGTAAACATTGTTCACAAATCAACATGTCTCTCATATAGTTCGTGAAACTATGAGTGATATGTGAATTTATGAATAATATTTACTAATACTTTGTCAAATGAAGAAGTGACCAAAATAAAAGTTGCAGATAGTGATGAGTTCAACAACTTTTATGTTCGCGACTTTTATAGTTTAAATCATTTAACGTTTCAAAATCTTGTTTGAAGTTGTCATTTATTGAATTTCAAATTTTGAACTGTTCAAATTTTGTCAAATGAAAAGATGATCAAAATAAAAGTTGTAGATAGTGATGTGTTCAACAACTTTTATGTTCATGACTTTCTTATTTGAAATCATTTAAGTTTTTCAAAATCTTGTTTGAAGTTGCCATTTATTGAAATTCAAAATTTGAACTTTTCAAATTTTGTCAAATGAAAAGATGACCAAAATATAAGTTATACATCTTAATGAGTTCTACAACTTTGATGTTTATAACATTCTCATTTTAGATCATTTTTTGTCTTAAAATTAAATTCGAAGTTCACAAATTCAAATTTTATTTTTTTTATTTTACAAAATAAAATGTATCATTATATATCTATATATATATATATATAAGCAAGTAATTTTTTATGTGTACTGAAAAATATAACAAATTATTTTTATTACATTTATATATTTATATATACATTTATATATTTATAAAAAATATGCAGAAGTAATATTTAAAAATATGTGAAAATATTTATAGGGACAGCTGAATCAGAAATCGCTCCTATAAATATATTTGTAGGGGCGACTGATTTTTAGAGCCGCCCTACAAATAGCTTTGAGTATATATTTTAGAGCACAGTCGGCCAACCTTCTTTCCTGTCTCCACTTCATTCCCATCCCCATCTCCGTTTCTCAGTCGGACACCCAACCCCGCCGCTTCCAACCCTAGCCTGATGGGCTCCACCTCGCCGTCAGCACCGGCCCCTCCCCTACCTACCTCCTCCGTCCCCCCGCAGCCTGATCTAGTTGCGCCGACAACCCTAGCCCCGACGAGCTCCACCACCCCGTCACCGCCGCAGCCGTCGGCCGTCTCTCCGGCGCCGGCGGCCACCCCTCCCCACCTGCCTCCCCGTCCCCTACCCCCTCCATCTCTCGACAGCCGGCGTGGAGGCCTTCAAGGACTCCATCCGAGGCCTCGACGTGGGCGTGCTCGTTAACAACACCGGGCTGTCCTACCCCTACGCCCGCTCAGGCCCTGGCGCAGGAGGCTGCTCGCGTCCATGGTGCTCTCGTGGCCCTTGGTCGTCTTCTTCGCAGTCACCGCCGTTGGCGTCGCACTCTTCAGGCTCCCAGTTGAGAAGGTTCGGGTTTCTCCACTCTCCACCCTGCCGCTAGCTAAATCGGCCCATTCGTGACTCCATGTTGGGAGGATGAGTGTTTTCAGAGGAAACGCGTTTGGGATGATCTGTGCTGCTTATAGATTCATGGTGTGGTTAGGCATGGAAAACAGTCATCCTGGTTGTTGAAATGTAGGTTCGTTTGCTCTCGTGGTTAGTTAGCTCCCCCTCCCTCCCCTCGGTACCCAAATCTGCCATGGTTATACTTCGTGTTGCTATCTATGTGGCCGGAAATTACTATTCGAGTGGAGCTAATGATGGGTTTTGCCAAATGTGCATTTGAATGTTTTAGTCTTCAGAAATGTAGTATTGTTTTGGGTAGACTGGGCCAATGCATTGTGACATAACATGGTTGTAAGTAACACATATCATGAATACATGTATATTCCCAAATTGAAAGACATTTCCTGTCTAGCAGGAAGCTTTCAAGCGGTACTCCATTGCTTCTCACATCCACTACTGCGTGCCATAGTAGGTCAAGATACATGAACCATGGGATTAGTTGTTGGCAAAGCTATCTATCTATGGAATTATTTTTGTCATCTGACCATTCTAGTGCTTAATTTGTCATCCTTTCATGCCTTGTTCTATTATGGATATATCCTTGTGGTATTATCTAGTTCTGGCTTTAGCAACTGTTATTCCCTATTATAGTATTCTGTTAGGATGCATACTGCTTTCCGTTTTAATTTGCCTCAAGATGGTCATAACTTAATACCTGAAATATACCTCTCTCAGCTGCTTGCATCCAGCTCACGGCATTACCTGCTCTGCTATTTTTCATCTTGATTGAGGAATTTTTGTCAATTAGTTTTATTCTTTTTACCTAGTTTACATCATAATGTTGTGATATTTCAATTTACTAAGATAATCCAGAGTTTGAGAAGTTCATACTTCCCTTCTCGCTTTCTTGTTGCCTATAAATCTTAAGATTATGGACCTTAAAATGTAGATTAATTTAACTTCCGCATCAGGTACTTATTGGTTTAAGTTTACATTGACAGATTTTAAAGGACTTTCTGGTTTGGATCAAGGAGAACTTGGGTCCATGGGGTCCTTTGGTGCTGTAAGTATTGAACTCTTTGCACATAAGTGGTAGTTTCTCACTTGCAGTCACACTTTTGGGGCTCACTTACTGCTATACTCCACTACACATCTTTTCATAGAAAATATATGTCTTGTCCCTTAAATAAAAATTGGAGACGTTGATTCTCCATTTGATTGGTGTTCTCTCACATTTGGAGCAGTGCCTAATGACTGTTGATCGGTGATTCTTGAATTGGTTGTGGTGTTATGTTTTATGGAGGTGTCAATAATATGCATTTTAGAGCAACTAAATGTACATGTGCATTGATTAGTTACTGAACTTCATTGGGAATAAGCAACTAAATGTACTCTGACTAGACAATATTGTGGTAAGATCGAGGCAAAATAATTCAAAACATTAGGCAATTTTTACATCATTCTTTCTCTAATCTCTCTTTGTTTTTTCTATCATTAGATTGCAGGTTAGTTTCGCTTCTCTGCTTTTCCCACAGATTTCCTGTGCCTTAGTTCCCCTTCTCTGCTTTTCTCATAGATTTTCTATGGTTATGTATCCATCTGGGCAACAAACTTAGAACTAAACATATTTTTGTTAAAATTATCAGCCTATCTTCCCTGGTGATAGTGTTGTGGATCAGCTTATCGAGATAATAAAAGTACTTGGTTGTTCTGCGAACTGCACTATATTAGTTCTAAAGAAATGTGATAACTAGTGTTTTTCTATTTCCATGTACTGAATGGATTTGCTTTTTGCTGACAGGTTCTTGGTACTCCAGCACGTGAGGAAATCCAATGTATGAATCGAAACTACACCGTGTTTGTATTTCGTCATATCAAAGCTCATCCATGGCACAATGTATATGAAATTTATTTATCACATTACACTCACCCTGCATTGCATTGCATTTTGTCTGAACTTGGGCGTTCTGCAGCTTGTCCCTGCAGTTCACGATCGTCCTGCTGCTGAGGCACCTGGTGATGGTTGGAGCGGCCAACCAGTTCGCCTTCAGCCTCCTCACAGTGAGTAGTCCTACTCCACTTGAATGAATGAATGCTTCTTCGATTCACACAGAAATCTGAATTTCTTCCTTTGCTTGGAATGGAAGGTATACTGGCTGCGGGCGAGCGGGATCTTGCTTCCGTTTCTACGTTGTCATGAGGCTCATCTCCGTGATCCAGCAGGGACAGAGGCAGTACCACCTGCAGCTGCTCCAGGTTAGTCCATCGATTGCCACATCTAAATAAATATCTTTGGGGGGCTGTTCAGCTGGAGGGAAGCAGTGCTCAAGAACAGCAACAGCATGTCATCCTAGTTCGTTGAGGAACAAGGCATTCATCTAGTGAACATGAATGCATATATTTCTACAGCTTCTTGGTACATTGAGTAGTGGCACACTTCTTGGTACACCATACACAGAGGAGTTGCAGCATGTGACATACATATCGACAAACATCATTAGCTTATATGTTTGTATACATACTTGTAACGTTCACTTAGGTAGAAATTCTCAGTACCAACACCTTGTGCTTGTAGTCAGATTTGAATTATATATATTCTGGTCAGATTTGAATTATATATATATATATATATATATATATATATATATATATATATATATATATATATATATATATATATATATATATGTTCTGGTCGATTTTAAATTGTAAATTTGAATTTTTGTTGGCGGAAAAATATACTGTAGGGGTGGTTCTAGACTGAACCGCCCCTATAAATAGGTATTATAGGGGCGGCTGATACTACAGCCGCCCCTACAAATCGATTTGTAGGGGCGGCTTATAACACCAGCCGTCTCTACAAATCGATTTGTAGCCACGCTTTGGTAGGGGCGGCTGGCCAAACCACCCCTACAAATGCCCATGAGCCGCCCCTACAAAGCCCATATATGCATATAAAAAGCACATTCTTCTTCCTCACAGAACCAATGCCGCCCCTCCGTCCCCTATCTCACAGCGCCCTCGCTCCGTCACCATGCGTTGCGGTTCCCCTACATGAGTTGTTGTCGCGCCACTTGCAAGAGATCTCGTGCCGCCTAGCGTGGGAAGGAGTGCGGCTGCTAGAGACCTCGTTGCCCAAGCCACGTACCGGGCCTTTGGGGACCTCGCCTGCCGAAAATCACGTCACTAAACGTCACACCTTGTTGGTTCTCAGTCTACTTGGTGACAGACGAGAGATATACGGCAACACCGTCCAAAGAGGATGCGCCCGTCCGCTCGATTTATAGGGACGAGGGCATCCTGCATTTGAGGGGAATATCCTCTCGGGGATGTTCACATCCGAAATCCCCCTAAACTAAATAGAACTAAAATTTGAGATCCACCCATCCCATCCTACCAACCAAAATAGTCAAGGTCATTGGAGTTTTTCGCCTCCCATGAATGACCTTTTATTTTTCACATTGGTTATTAGTCTTAAACTCAATGTATGGAGTCAGTTAGAGTTTGTAATGATTTTAGACTCATGCCTCTTCTTTGATGATGAGGCATGAACGGATTTTATCTGTTATAAAAAAAACACATCTTGTGAACCCACTCAAATCACAAAGATGTGCATGCAATATATGTTGGTTCAAAGGAAGAAGAAGAAAAAGACAGACATGCCTGCATGCAAGGAAAGCGCCTTCAGTTAGGCGGTTAGGCCTTTCGTTTGCGCCATGATGGGCAGCCATTGTTGACTCCCACTACACACTGATCTGAGTAGCTCAACTGCTCAAGTGCATCCTACATGTCCTAAGTCCTAACAGGCTAAAACTGCCATATAGAGTTAGAGGAACTTCTAAAGAACACACACTTTGCATCTTCCATGCCTCATGCATGAGCTTTGAGGGCAAAATTCAGCTGCTGCACAGTAGTTACTGACACCTCTTTTTCGGTAAAGAGGTAAAAGGCAGCATCATATCATAATTGGTGCTACGGAGTGGGGAAGAGCATAATTAAAAGCGAGCTCTTAATTTTGTGGGCACGAAGGAAAAGAGGTAAAGAAAAGAGCCGGTAAAAAAAAAGCCATATGGCCCCGGCACCAAAAGGGAAATGCCTTTTACTTATTACCAAAGGCGTAAATGTTTCGCAAAAGTATATTCGCATGCAATGCAATGGTGGGGGACATACGTGCATGCATACACAAGTTTCTGTCCAGTATCAATATGTCAATATGTCCTTGATGTTGCTGGTCCTAGAAATAAATAAATAAATAAATAAATACTCCGTATAAGCCGGCCCCACTCATCAATTTGCACGCGGCGGGTACGGTGCAAAACCTCGAGATGAACCTCGAGGCGAAGAAGGAAGGAACATCCTTTATCACGTTGCTGCACTGGCCATTATGCTTGTCGATCCATGAATGTCACTCCCATTCATGGCCATGGCCCATGGACAGTCACTTTCACCTGCAGGGGAGCCATATGCACTGTCGCTCTCTGTCATAGTGCCATCAGACTGTCTCCAACAGAGCAAGCAAACCGTGACCCAAACGCAAAATAGGTCATTCACAGTGTTTTGCCTACCAAAAACAACGCTCCAACAGAAGATCCAAACACTTCACCCATTTTGCATACGAGGCTTGCCGAAACGCAAATCTGCGTTGTCGAGAGAGACCGAAGCAAATCTCTGGCGTCGTAATGGTGGGCCCGTAGGAGCGGGGAGTGGCGAGGCGCGGCTAGGCGGACCGCGGCGGGGAGCCGACGCGGCGAGGTCCGCCTCGAGGAGCGGTCAGCGGGTACCGCGGCGAGGCGGGGCTTGTCGGCGGGGAGCGGGAAGCGGCCGTCGGGGAGCGTGGATCCGGGGTCCTCACCCGCGACCACCGGATCTAGGAGGGAGGGACGCCATGCTCAACGAGGGAGGGGAGAGAGGGACGGGCGGCGCCAGGGTAGAGAGGGACGGGAACTGGGTGACACGGGGGAGAGAGAGTGAGGAGAGAGGGACGGGCGGCGCCGGGGTAGAGAGGGAGGGAGGGATGGGAACGGGTGGTGCGGGGGAGAGAGAGTGAGGAGAGAGGGACGGGCTTTTGGGTAGTGTCGGGTTCATAAACCCGGGGTCCCTCATGGACCGGCTTCCCATCAAAGGCTCGGCCCAACAGACAACGTTGCGAGCAACGCGCAACTCATGGGCCGGCCCAAATACCTAGATGACAGGCCAGAAGGACGATCCAATCTCCGACCGGAAGGCCTGGCCGAGGAGGAACAGCACCCGCTTCCGACTCCGGCCCACCTCTCCGACCGGAGCGCTCGCTTCGGTCTCCAGCTCACCTCCGGACGGCCTCTCCAACCGGAAGGCCTCGCCAAACACCACTTCCGACTCCGACCCGCTTCTCCGACCGGGAATGCGCCAAACCCCTGCTTACAGCTCCTCTCTAACTAGCGCAATCAGAGCCGACTGGGATCAACCGACCGGGGACGCCCGCTCGGTAAGGACCAGGAAATAGATGGAGAAAGTAAGGCAGCGCACTCGAGTCAACCGTAATACCGAGGACCGTACCCTGTACACCTGCAGGACAGTACCCTGCGACCTCCCTGACATGATAGAACCTAAGCAGTGTTGTAGGCGCCGATATTTTCCCCTACAGTGTTGTGGGCGCCATCAACTCCCATACCAGACAGATACGGTAAGGCTCCCCCACGTGCCTCTGAGGCGTTGACAGTGTTGTGGGCGTCGGCATTTACCGTACCAGGCGAACATGGTAAAACCCCTTACATACCTCTAGGTATCAACAGTGTGGCAGGCACCGACATCTGCCATACCTGAAGAAGATGATGCAACCTCCCACGTGCATCTGACATTAAACAATATTGTGGGCGCCTACCATCATTTTGTACCCGCCGGCGTGGGCAGCAAGACTTAGCAGTATACGTACTCTCTCCTTCTCACTTGTAAGGCCACCCCCTTCATCTATAAAAGGGGATACGCTCTCTCCCAAAAGACGGTTGATTCAGATTGATCAAGTTCACTAGTACACAACAACAGAACCAATAGGTTCAAACCTTGAGCACACGCTCGAACACACAGCACATAGCGGAGCTCCCGTCACTCTCGGCCCCTCTGACCAGAGTCCGACCGGACCTCTTGTACCCCCCATCTTTCTCCTTCTCGTTTGTAACCCCACTGCAAACTTCGAGCACTTGGGCTCAGGAATAAAGTCACCGACCGACTCAATCTGGACGTAGGGCACGTTGCTTAAACCAGTATAAACCCTGTGTCATTGAGTGCTGGGCCACCTCCGATCACAACGTACAACAAAACTATAAATATTTATGTGTTGGTCACTTTCTGCACCGACAGTTGGCGCCGTCCGTGGGGAAGACGTTGTACGTTCAACACTTTTTGGTCATCGGATGGCCCACTTTTCCGCCACCTTCGCCATGGCAGGCTCGAGCGATACGACTCGCTTCGGCTCACTGGAGTTTCCCGCACTCCCGCCTGTTGGGATGCGGGTCCCACCCGTCTTCGAGCCGTCCTAGGACTTCCTCTTCTGAAGCTTAGACTTCGTCGCCGACCGGCTCGGCGTACTACACCTCCGCGAGGAGGCACTTGTTCCGGCGCCCATCAGAGGGGCGCCCTCCCTATGCTCCGGGACGCACAATGACTTCAATGACAAGGCGCCTGCGCTTCATTCCGAGCAAACTCTCTGCTCAAACCCCGCTGTGAGTAATATACATACTGTTATTTACTCGCTATTCACTATCTTCCACCGATTATCCGGAGGGACCCCGTTGTCCCTACCGTGACTGCCATGCGACCGGTTCCCCTACGGCCTCGCGTCCCCCGTGGATGTGTACGCCCGGGGGCTCCGAAGGATGCCGGCGCCGCCCCCTCTCACGTCTAGAATCCTGGGGATGGCGAGCTATGCTCCCACCTATATCCTCGACCTCATGGATGACGATATTGAGAGTGACGGCTCCAGCATCGGCGACGTGGCACCTAGCCACCGTCCGTCCCGGGAGTGCGCTATGGCAGATGCTCCGGGACAACCACCGGTGGTAGCGGAGTCCTTGTAGACTCACACCTCTCCAGACCCTTGTGTGGGGACACTCACGCTCACACGAGAGCACGGCGAGGAGCTACGACGATGGCGGCAGAACCAGCCGCCACCTGCGCCGGCACGCTCGGTGCACCACGCTGCGCCCCGTACGCATAAATCGGCGAGTGGCGCTCGGGGTCGCGCCCGCCGGCTCCAGCGCAACATCATGGACGGGGGGAACGATCCCCCACAGTTTGCTCGGGCTGACCAGAACATCGCCGCTGTGGCAATGCTTCTGCGCGGCCTTCCTAAGCCGAACGACCCCTAGGAACAGGCGATCCATCGGAACCTCCGGGCACTGCTGAAAACCGCCGCCGTTCAACAGGCGGAGAGCTCTGCATCACGACACCACCTCGCGACCTCTCTTCGCACCAGGGGACTAGGGACGCACCAAACGAATCGCTCCACCCGCTCATCGCTACAGCCGCCGAGCGCGGCACAGGAGGCCGCACCTACGCCTCGGCTTGACTTGGCGCCCGCTCCACACCGACCACCTGTACGCGAGCGGCTCGGGCCGAACCAAGACGCTCGCGGCGTCATCAGTGACCGGCATCAGTCCCAGCAGGATGATGGTGTCCATCGAGCGGCAGTGATGGCAGGCGACACAGACCCCGGCCGGACCATCACGAGGAGTGGTGAAACACACCCCAGGCGCGATCGCCGTCCGGACGACCGAAGTCCTAGCCCAGATGGCCCGGGACCAAGGGCCTTTGCCCGACGCATCTAGAGAGCGCCGCTCCCGCAACGCTTCAATGGAGGCCGAGGCAAAGGCAAGACCAAGCGCAAGGATCAGGACGAGGGCCCCTCCATGCGAAGGGGCAAAAAGAACAGAAAAGATCGCCGCCGACCGGCCAACTCCGCGTTGGTCGCCACGGCTGACCACACGGCAAACAGCCCTAGCAGGGCCTTTCAGACTACTTCAACGAGCTCATGGAGAGCCCATGCACCAACCACGCCTACCCCATCAAACACCTCTACAAAGACTGCGAGCTCCTCAAACGCCTTCTGCGACAGGCCAGCGGGCCGAAGGAAGAAAAAGGCGAAGAAGCAGCGGCCAAGAAAGGGGACGTAGCGGGCAAGGATCCGGACGACTAAAGGCCGAGGTGATCCGACCGGACGCCTACCGACTGAAGGATGACAACGACAATGTTCTCACCAGCGCTTGGAACAGCTATGTCGTTTGTTCCCCTAAAATTTAGTCTTACCATTGTTTATTTAACGTTTGCTATTATAAAAGCTCCCCGACCCGAACACTTTAGGCCCGGATCGCTCAGGGGCTCCATGGGGGTGCACTACCACCTCTCTTTTCGTTTACTATCATATGATAAAACTCCTTCCTACCTGAACAATATGGTAGTTTGTTCCTTTAAATTACCTTACGTAGCTTTGATTTAAAATATTCCGACCGATCGCACCCCGCCTCTACCTACGGTTACGAGTAGCTGAGCCTCGTGGGCCACGCCCGGGCTCCTAAGGTTGCAGCCTACGGGACGAATGGGCAAGTGCGAAAAAGAAAGAATAAAAAACAAAATTATGCTAAGGTAAAACTAAGGAACAAATGAGACAAGCTTCCCCGAACGGAGTGATTCCATCACAAAAAACGAAACTGATTGTATTCATTAAGTACACAAGAACGTTTACACGGGGGCTTCCCCACGAACTTAACCTTTTACATCTGCTAAACTACTTATACTTTACAAGCTATTGGGGCTGCTTGGCGGCATCTGCTGTCGGTGCGACCGGCGAAGGCACGGGCTACTCACTCCCCGGCTGGACGACATTCGGCTCAGTTGGAGGCGGCGCGATGTCCACTTCCGACCCAGGCTCCACGCCATCCGCAGGCTGGGCGACGTCCCCCTGACGCACGCTTCCGGCCATGTCCTCACGGCGAGCATCCATCACCCACTGCGCGGAGATTTGCTCGGCCAACAACTTTGCGTGTGGCCTCAAGCTCTCCCCGAGCGACTGGATGTCCTCCGTGCTACAGCCGTCGGCATACCCACTGCAGATGGTGGCGAAGTCCAGATCCGGGTGGTACGTCGCCACCAAAGTCAACACCCCCAACGCTCCATAGAACAGCCCTTGGGTGATGATCCTTTTGCTGCGCGTGATCCTTTTGCTGCGCGTGACCCAAACTATGGAATGAGTCTCCGATTCGGGTCTGTGCTGTTGGAGATATCCTCAGGACAAGAAAACTGTATGAGTACCCATAACCGTATGCATCCCCAATTTCTATTTTTGTCAGTATAACCTTGCGTGTATTAAGATTTTTTTCTGTAAAATGAACTTTCTTAGAAGACAAACCATCATACTTTTTTTTATGTATGTATAAGAAATAATCATATTTTGTTCGCAAAGAAAAAAGAAATAATCGTATTACATTTTATAAACTTCTATTTTTTTTAAATTTTTGGGTTTTCAAACTTGTTCTCGGTCTAAGCACAAGTTCAATGGGTTTCGAGCCGCTCTATAAGCCTGCATGGCATGTTGACAAAACGTCGTTGGCGTGGTGGATCTGACATATTTAGCCTAGTACCTAAACTTATATGATAATGGCACCTAGGTTCCTAAATTCTAAAATTGCATATCGAGGTTCCCAATGGGGCCAACGAGGTACCTAAACTCTTGCGCGGTCATGCCATATTGCCATATGTGTCCTTATATTCCAAAATTGCAGATTTAGACACCCAAACTTGCTAATCGGGTGCCATGAGATCCAAATTACCATTGTTTACGTACAATAAACTGCATGTGTGGTTGTTGACTGTACTATGTTGGGTTAGCCATGTCGCCACAAAAACCTAAGAGACTGATCTCTCTAGCGCTGGAGTAATGGGAAGGCCAACACCTTGGATCAACCACCAACATTTTTCTCTTCGTCTCCGATGCCGCCGCCACCACTAGGAGGTTGCGATGGCAGCTATATGTCTACGAGATCCACTACACCAATATATCATGTGCATCAGCAGCTGCTCTCTAAGTAGGCACATGACTTCGCTCGTAGGTTCAATGGCCACCTCATCTAACAACAATGGTAATACCAGAGTATTTATCCATTTTAGGCATCTAATTTTGAATGAGTAGTCCTCTATTTAAACCATGAGTTTTAACATGTGCGTATAGCATGGTCGTCCCTTTGTCTCATCTCCTTCCCTGCCCTCTCCTATGCCATCGCCACCACTCGCTCTTACGCCGACGTAGCCCAAGCACCAACACCAACATTATAGCCGGAGCACCTCTGAGCAAGAGGGAGTGGTGGTAGTGACGTAGGAGAGAATGGGGACGAGATGAGAGAGAGAGAGAGAGAGAGAGAGAGAGAGAGAGAGAGAGAGAGAGAGAGAGAGAGAGGGACGCCATATTGACCCCATATGTCAGTTGCATAATAACAATTGTGCAAACAGTTTATTGGAAACAATGGTAATTTGTATCTTGTGTGGTTTGATCGGTAAGTTTGGGAGTCTGGATGTGCAATTTTAGACAGTAGGGAGCATCACCATACAAGTTTAGGAACTAGGCCAAATATGTCAATCGATGACAGCGTGAATCGTCTTATGGAGCGTTTGGACCAATGCTAAAACTTGAAATAAGTTTTGGCACCCATAAATTAAAAAAAAATGGAACTGGAATGTCACAATCTTCTTCTGAGTTGTTATTATTGTTAAAATTATCTAATAGAGCTCATCATAACAATCACACATAGGTGGAACTTTGTGTGGCCAGTACTCAACTACTTCAGTTGAATTGCTACATCTGTGTTTTTTATTTTTACCACAATCTTTTCTACTTTTTTTTTTTTTTACAAAATGAACACATATACATATAGTGGACTTTCACAAGTAACAAACGCTCAACTTTCTGCCAGATGCTTTTCCGGAAAATACAGCAGCAGCAGCACTAGCAGTTGGGCCGAGACAGAATCATTGAATCCCCTGCAGCAGTGGGACCAAGGTATTCAGATCTGAGCGAGTGGCATTAACCACCTTTTCTCTCCAGATCTATTCTCCTGCACCCCCTCTGTGAATTGCCCTGCCCGGCTCGGCTGCCCCTCTCATCTCATGCATGCATCCCTTTTTAGGTATCAAAGGACCAAGGCAAGAGGACCCTTTGGAAGCTCTGTCAGGCTTCTTTCCTCTCCAGGCTCCAGTTGTTCCTTGCTTTGCTCCCTACTCTCTCTCTCACACACGTAGAGACTAAACTGTTACTACTCATGTGCTTTATTGACATGGACTAATTAATCAGACTTCGAACTTATTAAAAAGAAAAACAAGAGTCAATTAATCTGACAACACAAAACATATATAAAAGAATTCAGTCGGTTGACGTCAAAATGCCCTTGCCTTTGATCAAGAAAATGAAATTACCTAGCTTTGCAACAAGCTAACTCAAGGCTCAAGAACCATGTCGCATGCATAAACCATATAGAGATCATCTCCTAACAGCACAACATGAATTCACCTAATCACGCAACACGGTGACTAGGAGAGCTAAAACACAAAAAGATCATATATATGTTTCTAATTAAGTCCATTGTTTTCATCTCATATCATGAACTTTGCTGAACTACAAGTCGGGGGGTCCAGAGTTGGGTTCAATCAGCACTTCAGCAATAATACATATACAATTTTGGTAATTGAAACCCCAACGTACTTAAACTAAACTGAAGTAAGCTGGAGTTTAGCTGCGTGCATGATAAACTAACCTAACCTAGACATGCTTCAGCTCTCTTGGCGAGCCAAGAGCTGCATGCCCAGCTAGCCAGGGCGCCATGGACGACCTCCCTCGATGCATCCATCGATCTGCATGCATCACATATACTAGCTAGCTAGTCAACCATCAACTACGACGTGACCAAGGAAGCAGCGTACGTACGCGTGCTCCGTCTCATGACTCATGAGCCCACGACGTGCACGCGCATCTTCTTGCTTGCCGGCGACATCGGGCACGGCGCGGAGGCGGGCTGGGCGACGAACACCGCGGCAAGGACGTCGTGCGGCACGGCGATGAACCACCGCACGGGCGCGGGGCGCGGTGCTGCCGACCCATCACTACAGCTACACCCTCGTCGGTGATGCGTCGTCGGCAGCTGCTTCCTCTTGGCCGGCTTCGGCTTCCTCGGCGCCGGCGGGCAGGCCGACGGCGCCCGCAGCACGCTGGCCGCGGACTTGGGCGTGGCGCACCCGCCGTCGACGTCGGCGGCATTATCGTCGCCGCCGCCGCCCGGCCTCGGCGTTGGCGGCGCTGCCACCGTCCGGATCGGCGGCGGTAGCTGGCTGGGCAGCAGCTCGAGCTCGAGGCCCATAAATAAGTCAATGGACTGATGAGAGGAATGTGACGATGAGGTGGATCAGTGCTGGAGCACAGGAGCAGTGATCGATCGAGTGATGGCAATGGCGGTGCGCGGAGGAGGCCGAGGCAAGCAAGAAGCACGGTAGGGTTGCGCGAGCGGCGCTTAAGTAGATGAGAACGGGGGCGGGGAGCAGGCGTGGAGGGCAGGAGGGATGGGATGGCAGTGATTATGGCGGCGATCGAGGAGTGACTAGTGAGAAGGAAGCGGCAGGCAGTAATAAAGGAGAAAAGGGAGCAGAATTATATGGGAGGAGGCAGCCTGCGCCCTGTGATGCCAAAGGCGTCTCGAGAGAGAGAATCTGTGATCGATGCGAATGAATGGTTGTGAGAGGAATAGAGTCAGAGTGCATGAAAGCGGCGGGCCGGCGGGGGTGAATGAACGAACTCAGCCCAAGGAGAACGAAGCTCAAATCTGAGCGTTTCTCTTGAATTATTGGCGCGGACGCGGTAGAAGTAGAAAATAAACTAGGCCTGGTTTAGATTGCAAGTTTTTTCACTTTCTCTGTATCACATCAAATTTTTGGATATATGTATGGAGTATTAAATGTAGATAATAAAAATAACTAATTACACAATTTGATTGTAAATTACGAGACGAATCTTTTGAGCCTAGTTAAACCATGATTAGTTAATAATTGTTAAATATAAACAAAGTACTACAATGTCAAATACTGATTTCTAACCTCAATCTAAATAAGGCCCTACTGCTCCTAGGGGGTGTTTAGTTACCCTAAATTTCAAACTTTGGCACTATACAAAAAGAAGATTCCCCGTCACATCAAACTTTACGGTACATGCATGGAGTACTAAATGTTGACGAAATAAAAAACTAATTACACAGTTTGATTGTACTTTGCGAGACAAACGTTTTAAGCCTAATTAGTCAACATTTGAATAATTATTACTAAATACAAACGAAATGATACAGTAGATACTGTGGCTCCAAACGAGGGCTAGATCGAGTTTCTTCCACACAGCTCGTCAGACTGAGCACTTAATTGACCAGATTGCCGAGCACGGCAAGGGCTGACATGTACGTACGTCACCTAGCTAGCTAGGCCAGTCAGTCACCACCATGGTGCAGTACAGCAGTTGTGCACTTACAGTGGCCCATTCTATCGCCTATCTGAAATTGAAACTCGTTCTATTCACGAGAATATATTGGCTTTGTTTCTGGTCCAGTTGTAGCCGCCTGAGGCACACAAGGAGTTGGTGTTAGAGCCTTGTCGCAAGCTCGAGAATGGCCCAATTGGCTAATTAACAAGGAATGAAATTGTATTTGACAAATAATGTTGATATAAAACTCTTTTGCATGTTCTATTCAGGGGATCGCATTGGCTTTGTTTCTAGGCCCATTTGTAAAGGCGTGAGGCATAGGTGTTAGAGGCTTGCCGCAAGCCAAAAAATGCTCCAAATGTGTTTTTCACGTCCTATATATGGATGTACTTTTATTTTCAGAATTGAGTTTTGAGCTAGTTTTATTTTGTAAGCTCGTTCCTTGTCGTGGAGTAATTATTGTAATAATGTGGTCTTGTTCCTTTTTTCGAGGATGAAGTCAGATGTTCTTCCTATTATCTATAAAAAAATCTGAAACTGAAATCGTCAGGCAAAATCATTCATGCCCGCACCATTGATGTTATTACAGTGTCTCGGTGTTTGGTTGTCTTTGCATAGATACACTATACTTGGTAAAATTATATTTGGATGCTTTGTATTGCATTTAGTCACCTTCATGCAGGGGCGGAGACAAGGGGGCGAGCAAGGGACCCTATGAACGTGAAATTCAAATAAATTTTGAAAATTTAACACTGCCTGGCCTCCCCTAACATTAAAAAAAATTAACTTTCTGGCTCCGTCCCTGCCTTCATGTTTTATTAATTAGAGCTCTCATGTTTGGTTGTCTTTGTATAGATAAACTACGTTTGGTAAAATTATATTTGGTTGTTGTCACACCCGATTTTAAAGATAAATGGGATGCATAATCTTATGTTCGTCCAGATATCAGTCACACATATAAGCCGACAAATTATAGATAATATCATCTCAAGTGTTTATTACATCACGACTAATATGACATAGTCTTCACATAAATACATTGGAAGTATAAAGATAACTCTCTTGTGGAAGCTTCATAGCACAGGGACGTCAATTGGTTGACCACAAGTCTAGTAATTCTCAGAAAAGTCGTCATTACCATTGCAATCTATTACCCATCCGGGATTTTTATCCAAATAATAAAAATAAACAAGCATAAGTACATCTCGTACTCAACAAGTGTAACATGAGGTTTATGAGGCTCAAAGGCTTGACACAGGTTTAACAACATTTAGCTTTTAGTTGTCATAATTTTAGCATAAGAATAGCAACAAGATGTTTTAATCCCAAAGTAAAACACATGATCAATGTAAACATGAGTACTATATAGCAAAAACAATTACTTAATAGCGATAATCTATTCTATAAGGGTTTCAAGGCCGCTCGTGACAGTGAGCACGGCTGTTATAACAGTTTTACACTCTGCCGATGTTGTACACTTTCACTGTGAGTCGTGATACCCATATGCCCGAGTTTATAACTCCTAAAACACTTCCAAAGTGAGCAGACAGGGTATACTATGAAGTCTTTCAAAGGTTCGTCTAACAAGTTAGGGCCGCTAGATTTTCAATTGGCAAGCAGATATAGGAACCCCCTGTCGAATGGTATAATTCCTTCACGGCTATACACATAAGAGTAGAGGCTGTCCTATACCCGACTCGGCAAGCCCCTCTTGCGCCATAAAGGTAACCACTAACAAGCTAGAAAATATCCTCATACTTGACTAAAGCCAGAGCCATGTGGCCCTCACAGCTGTACCGTAAGTTCTGGATGATCACTTATAGATAAGTCCTTAGGGAGAGGAATCCGAAGCATTTAGAAAGTAACTAAACACTCCAGCCCCCTTTCCCTAAGTTGCTAAAAAGTCATGTTTTAATGTTTATTGCATATGCCATTAGTCAAGTTACAAGATCATGGTTTAGTTGAGCACTAGCAAAGCTACCCAATGCATATCTCATAGGAGTCAAGGCATAAGTACAATTCTAGGAAATCCTTATCAAGGTGACATGCAAATATGGATTGGTTATATTAAAGTGAATAGGAAACAAGGATGATCCCATGCTATACTTGCCTTGATCCAAGTGTTCCTACTGATCCTGCTCGTCAAAGTAGTACTCTTGATCACCCATGAATTGCTCACCGTCTATACTCGATAATCACAGCAACATACAAGCATCTAGAAGCAATCATGCATAGCAAACAAAGGCTATAGATTAGAACAGTACACCAACAACATAAAATCAAGATGAAAAGTGTGTAAAACGAATCTACGTCTCGCTATGAACACACAGACGCGAAGATCACGGAAATCGGAGCTAAAACGAAGAAATTATGAATTAATTAAGATTTCCTTTAATAAAATAATAGATTAAATCTAACCTCAAATTTCAAAAGTTGAAAACATACTTAACGGTAGTCTGAACATGTAGATTATGTAATTACGAATCTAACGCAACTTGAATGGATCAAAACGGAGTTAAAACGAAGTTTTTATGTGCACAACAAAATCAGTGATAAATCTGTAAATAAGGAAAACGTATTTTGAATCTATGCATGACGATGGAATTCTCGCTTCTGAAGAAAACGTGGAAACAAGTGGTGGTGGTGGTGATTCGTGAATGCGCTATAGACTATGGGTTCTATTTATATAATACTGAGAGGGTCCCAACAGCAAAAGTAGCGGACAATTTTTTTTTCTTTATTTTCCTGAAGAAACAGGGAAATGCGGTGAGATCTAAGCCATTAGATCTAAGCCGGTATGTTTTCAGGGAGGCACAACACGCCAGTTCAGATTAGATCACAGCAAGCAGAGAAGAGGAGAGAGAAAGTCACAACCTATCTAGGGCTTCTTGGCGAGAACAATGCAAGGCGTGGAGGCTTCCACAACAGCAGGCGATTGAACTACGACCACGAACACATGGTTGGCAGCGAAATTGAAATCTTTTGCTAGGTAATGAACAAATATGAATCTAAGACAAACCCTCATGATTAAATATCGATACCAATTGATGAGTACAGGCTTCCGAGGCTCGGTTTAACTCGGAAAAAAAACCACCCTATGAGGGGTTAAAGAGGGAAGAAGGCAAACTCACCACGACAACTTACAAGGAACTCGGTTCAAAGGACGCGGATAGAGGGAAAGAAGGCTCAAGAAGCAAGAACTGGTTCCAAAGGACTAATCGACACGTCTTGGGATGGCGGGTGGTGGAGTTCCCACGATGTGTGAGCAATTATGGACCTTGGCGTGAAGAACGCAAACCGGAGCGAAAAAAAAAAAAATCCGAAGAGGTTCGGTGGCTTCGGTGTGTCCAGCGATGGCGATGTCCTCAACTACCTCGAGGAGTCAAGGCATCGGAAATTCTAGGAAATCCTTACAAGGTGGAGGCGGTTAGGCGAATAGCAAGGCGATCCCATGCTATACTTGCCGGTGTTCCTCACCGAGTTTCTACTCTTGAGATCAAGCGGTGGCGCATCTAGAAGCTCATGCATAGCAAACAAAGGGCTCAATGAAAAGGCGCTAGCTATGAACACACGGGGGGCTTGTGTTAGGGCTCTAACCTCAAATTTCAAAAGTTGGACTTAGCAGTGACATGTAGATTATGTAATTGCTATTTAAGGGGATCCTCTCGGTGTTAAAAGCGGGTCATGCTAAAACTCCGGGGAATCGGGCGCGGACTCTCGCTCGAATAGAGTCCGGTTCTAGGACGACGAGAGGTGAGGTGAGACAAGTTGAGATTAAAACAGGAGGAAGAGAGAGAGAAAGACAATGCAGGCGTGGAAACTTCCATGGCTCGGAGGAGCTCATGCATGGCGATGACATAGGGCATGGGACCATGGTGTCGGAGGCGAGGAAGAGGG